AATTAATGGAAGCCAAAACAGATAAAACATTCACAGCAGCCCCTTCAGCTCCCCTCATAACAAGACGTGTGAAGCAAAAAGTAGCCACATGTCTGTACTACATCTAGAAAAGGAGCAGCACAGAGATTCAAGAAAGCTGAAGTTGTCCTGCCAAGAGCTACTGGTGCTTCATGAAAGGAAGTTACATGATCCCACTATCTCATTTAATTCTACCTTTAATGCTACCTGATTGCAGTCTGAACTGCTGACTCCTTTTACAGAGTAAATAGCTGCAAAACCAAACAAAAACTGACAGAAGACTTTGATGAGATTGGGAGGATTAAAAAAGGCTGAACCTTGAGGAGATTTCCTTTCATGTAGCAAAAGAAAGGCCTCATCTGGCTTTGCATGTCTCCTATGTACTGATGTACAGGTGAGTGTGATCATCAGGCTGGCTTACTTAGAGTCAGTCTTTCTACATAATATAGAGATATAGGTGTGTGTGTGGATGTGGATTGGAATGCAAAATAGGCACCTTTCTTACTGGAAAAATAACCTTAACAGCAAATGTTAGTTGGATAAATTAATTTTTGGACAACTTGTCATGGAACCAACACTTGAATATTCATCCCACCATTCCACAGGGCTTCCAGAAAAATGTGCTTTATTTCATCCACAAGATGATGAGCTCAGTGATGGAATCACCGAGTGAAATTCTACTGGCAGCGTAGAGTCAGGAGATTGGGTTATATAGTAACATTGGTTCCTCTTGCTTTAAATTTATGTATAAGTAACAGTATCATTTTGGTAGTCCTGCCTGTTTTAATTTCCCATTACTAGCTGCATTATGAAGCCTCTCTGAGAGGTTTATGAAATTCCTTCCAAAGCCATTTATCTTTCCACCTACATCCTTTCCTCCAAGTTAAGAAGTCATATCTAAAATTAAAAATGTTGTCTGGCATATGGGTTTCACAAAGACACATTTTGGAAAGCAAGAGCTGAAGACTCATTTACTGTGCGGCCATTCAGTCCAGAAAGGATAAAAAAACCCCTAGACTTAATTTTTTGATAATGAAATCTTTTTAGAACTTTTTGATATAGAACCCTGTTACAAAGTCTACTGACTGAGTTTTAACATTTTTGACAATAAGATTTCACTTTCAATTTAAAGGCAAACAGAAATGAGTCAGTTAATTTATAAGGAAAATTTCTAAATACTCAGTAAAGACAGAAATTTGCAATGGGCCAATTTTTATGTATTTTCAATCACTTTTATTGGAGCTTTCTGTTTTTTGTAAGAAGACAAGCCATGGGTAGTAGGTAAAAAATAAATCACTGTTTTTCCAAATGGACCTCAAAATCCATAGCTCCTATGAGCTATTCAGTATGCAATTCATCTGCTTTCCAAAAATAAGTGTGTAAAAAAAATCTTCTTCTAGGCTTCCAGCTAAGGTGCATCCATACCTCACGTGTCAAATTATAGGAGGAAAGAAGAAAATAAATGCAGATAGAAGCTAATGCAGTCTTCATAAAATAAAGAACTAGAATTGCTAGAGAACGCTACAGAGAGGAAGGCACTGTCACAGATCTTTGGAGAGTGACTTTCTTCCCTCAATGGAGTATAATGCTCTCCACTAATGGAAGAGTAGTGCCAATGCCTGAAAATCCCCCAAAGGGTACAAGGCAGGAGATCGAATGTCTAACAGTTTGACACTGGCAAATGAGCAGAATTTAAACAAACCAGGCCCTGGGGTTTTAATATATCCTTAGTATTGTTCAAATATTTGCACAGTATTTATATGGCGTTTCCTTGCAAAACACACTATTGCTTTATTAAGCCATGAAGTAAACAAGTCCTTCATAGACTTCATAGTCAGTGATTTCAAGTGCACTACAAGATTTACTCAGTGAAATTCTTGAGCCCATGTTATGAGGCAGCTCAGGTAAGATGACTATAACATGATTTTATTGTGTACAACAGAAAAAAAAAAAAAAAAACCAAACCCAACCCCAGAATTGCCTTTAAATCTTTCCTTTGTCTCCCTGACTGAGAGCTGGTAAGTCTTAGATAATGTATTCAATACGTAATTGCCATCTTGGTCAAAGAAGAAACTGCCTGTCCCATAAAATTTGGATCTTTCAAAATTCAGTAGCTGTGCATGTCAGCCAAATTCTGGAGCATGTCACATAGAGGTGTGAAAGCTTCTCAGCTGCCCAAGAAGTTAATGAAAAAATTTCCACTGATTTTGATAATGGAGGCCCAAGCCTCCAGTGAAAAATCTCAGTGAACTTTTATTTCCAAATTTTAGACAGGTCCTTCACTAGATTTCATTATAGCTTTTGTAAGGCAGGTAGCACATACTAAAGTTAGAAAAGTGTGACACAGGATGTATAACCATCTTTCCCATTCAGGAAAAAGTGAAATAGGATTTGCGAATTGTAATGAATTATGTTTCAAATGTACCACAAGTTTTAGATATGGAGCTACGCCCTGGACTAGTTCCAGCTTGCCAATTTTCATTAGCAATTCTTCTTTATCAACAGTCAGAGTATCACTGCGACAATCTGCAAGTCTCTGTTCAAAGTACTTCTTACATCTTTGTATGAATACATAGAGTTTATTAGGAAAATAGGGACACAGAGAAATGGGTATTTTTGGAAATGTAAATGAATATATTTAACACAGGCTCTTCTGAACAGGTTCTTGGTAAAGGTATCTATAAAATGAAGCATCAGATAAATTCTCCCATAACATTAAACATACAATTTTTAAGGGTTCATTACCACAGGGCCTTTTTCCAGAGAGGCAACAAAATGGAATATTCCCTTAGTTTCAGCCAGGCATTCAGTTAAACTTACAAATCCTTCCACTGCTGTTTTATCACTACCTGCAATGTTGAATCAACACCATCAGACACATTGTGTCCTTCCAAGACATAAAGTTATTCCACAGCAGTTTGCCTTCACAAGACACCCTTCTTCCAGTGAAGAGAAGCTGTGAAGAAAATACTGATAGAAAACGTCTTTCTTCCCCTAGGGAACCCAAGATAAAACTGGTGTTCATCACAAGGATACCCTTGGAGCAGCTCAGCATCTGGATCATAAAAGCGGATCTTGAAGAAAGATTGACTTTCAAAGCTGGATAATAGCTAATAGAGAATTTATTAATTCAAGCTTTAATTCATTGAGCTGGGGTAGTAATTATTTCTCCATCTGGCTTCACGCTAGTGTTATTTATGAAACAGCCACCTTTCTTCACCACTCATATAAATAAAAAAATCTAAGTGTAGATGAATTATTCCAGTAAGGTTTTTGCTTGGAGAGATATCCATGTAAATTATACACTGTTTTTATAATCTTCCTAATTACTCCTCTGGATTAATAAAAAGAAGAAATTACAGTAAAATACAAACTGCTGATGATCCTTTTAATTATTTTATTGTATACAAGTGGGAGTTACACATTTAAATCAAGAAAAGAGGTGGAGAAAGCACCATGAGTTGGAATTCATGTTTATGCTCCAAGAGCACTGCAGATGGCAGGTCCCTGAGGTACCATAATCATCTTCAGAGCGTATTCAAAACAGACTGAATATAAAAAAACCAAATACACCACGTATCACCTACCTACAGCCAGAGGGAAACAACTTCATGCAAGAGCTGTACTATTCCAAGGAGCCCAGTTATTCTGAGATGATACATACCTGGACTACCATATCAAAAGGCAGGTCATTGATGAGGCTTAGGGCTTTGTAGAACTAATATGAAATTAAATATTGCCATCCACTTAAAGACCATTTAGCAACAGAAATTTAATGATTAGTTCCAGATGTGAAATTATTTTATATAAATCAAAATTGTGTTTTGAACTGAAAAACGTTCAGATACCTGTAGATCTAAAATTTCTTTCCCCTTTATCTAAGCCTCACTGAAAGCCCATCCTTCCTTTCAGTATTTTACATGTCACCAGAGGAGTGCTGGACAGAAAATGTATGCAAATGAAGCGCTCCAAGACGCACTTTTGCCTTTTCACCAGTAGGTGTGTAGAGCTCTTTCTGTTCACAAGTTCTGGCATACCGTTTACAAAAGGTAACCAATCATAAAACATTAATATCTTTGTCTTAAAAAAAAATAAAATTAATAAATACACACTTCCAACTTTCCCCAAAAGCCCAAAACTTTTAACCAAGTTCTGCCCTAGCTACTTTAATGTTACAGATTTGATTTTCATTTGGCTGTCTGGATTTATCTGTCACCTTTGTATTTTGCTTTATGGCTTTATCAGCAGCTCCAACTCACAAGAAAAATGTCATTTTTTCATAATCTTATGTTCTACTCACATGAAAATGTAGCAAGGAAATGTAGTAAAATCTAAAATTAAAAAATAATAAACTACATCCCCTCTTCCTTCTTCCTACCATTAAATTACAATTGGCCATATCTGTATCTATATATTTTTTTTCTATGTAGAGAAAGAATAAAAACAATAAGGTAACAGCAATAATTTGTTTTTTTGAATATAACACCACTGTCCAGTTTTTTGTTTGCATGTCTCTGTGGTACTCTAGGTGTGAATCTGATCTTCTGTCTGACACATCTTCTGCCTGGGAAACCCAGAGATCGTTCCTGCCACTAGTACTTTACTTTCAACCACAGACAGAGAGAGATGCTTGGATCTAAGACTTTCAACTTTTCCTCAGACTTGTTCTTTCTGCTGGTCCTGTTATCACCAGCCTGCAGCTTCTCCGCCAGTCAGAAAATACGAGCAGCAACAACAAAACATGAGAATGCATTTGCTCCCAACTAGTGTCCCACCCAGTGCATGCCTAGCACCTGGCACACCTCTCACAACATGCTCGCTGCAGCTGTACCTTTAATGAAAAATCTGCATAAGTTCTAAAGTACATAAAATTACGAGCACAGTACAGACAAATATGGCAACTGCAACCACAACAAAGAAGGTAAACGAAAGAAATCTTTAACACTCCAGCTGTCTCTACATTTCAGCTTATCTTTTCTTACCTTTGTAGTCTACTGGCTTTGCATTCTTTAGAAGTTCCATGCACCTTGTTTCCTCCTTGTGAATCTCCAGCTGAAATCTGCATTCTGGATGGACACCATTCACCTGTGTAAAATTAACAAACAGGCCAGGGTCTTGAAACACGAATTAAAATGCTTTATGAAGGATGCAACTACCAATAATGAAAGCCACAACTTCAGCTGGCACTGGTTTTGCCCAAGTATGTGCTAGGCAGTTTACAGACACAGTCATTGCCCATTTTAGCTTCTCACACATCGACTTTTCAAAACAAAGTGTTAAAATAACCTACTAGAGCATTCACTGGCTCCTTCCTGTAACATTTCAAGGCCAATTATTTAACTTTCTAGCACATTCACCAACATTGTTTCATGAGACTTTTCCTCCAGAAAAACTAGTTTAACTCAAGCAGCAAGGTAAACATATTTGCCTTTTTTTTTTTTTTTTGCTTTTGTATTAAGTTAGGAAGCTGAAAGTTTAATACGAATCACAGAACATGAAAACTCATCAAACTGCATTCTCTTTGACATGGTAAATTTTGCTTTTCTTCCCTTCTCCATCACGCATATTTTATCTCCTGAAGGCACCAGAGCATGATTGATTCAAGCAAGTGCTACACAGGAAGAAACCCCCACTCCTTTAAAAAATGAAAGCACCTTCAGTCGTTTGTAGCCCTGCTCCCAGTTCCTTCATTTTCTGAAAGGGTTATTTATGTTCACAGGAAAAGACAAGAGATGTAGCACTATCATGGAGAGGAACAACATGCCCAGAAGTTGTACTGAAGTTACTTGAGTTCACAGAGGCAGACAGAGCCTAATAGAGAAACATGTGGAGTCTGTAAGAGACTGCAGGGGAGAAGTGACTGTAGTAGGTGACAAACAGGAAAGTAGGAAACATCACTGGAGCTGAAGGGACAGCGAGATTAGCTCGAATGAAATAGCATCATAATGAAATAAAATGTGAATATGCAGTACTTCAGCCAACCTCACACTTGTAGTTACCAAGAAAAGGGTGGTGTCTCTCCAAGTTTCTCTTTTTTCTTTCTTACTTTTTTTAAGGAGACATTTAACAACAGGATCTGGTAATAAACTCTGATCCATATGACAGTATTATTTTTTAATGGCAATACTTATTAATTAAGCTGTGATCATGGACCCAGAACCTAGGACCCAGAGCCCATAGTTAGGGCTGAGAACCCAATTATTCTCCAGTCTCCTTGTGGGCAAGCCACTTCTGCAGCTTCTAAAAATACAGCATAATAGCCATAAGCATAACAGCAGGAGCTGTCATGAAAACTCGTGAAAATCTGTCTCTTCTCCAAATGTTTCATTTCACCATCTACCCTATCAGAACCTTACTTCCCTTTCCCCATCTTTTCTCTATATTGACTATTGAAATTTCATGTTTTCAAGGCTGATTTTTCTTAAGTGAATTTGTAGATCCTTAACATAATTAGGATTTCTAGCACTTATAATAGAAAGTTCAGCATTACACTGAAAATATTTGTGTTTTGTTACGTACTATCTACCTTCCAGATAGCTCCCATGTAAAATAAAGTCCCACATGTACATAATGTTTTTAACTGCATTTTCCTTTCACAAAACAGATCTTGAATATTTTTTTTTTCCCAATTGCAAACATTCAGTAACTGAGAGTAGATCTCCTACTCATCAAAAAGTATTATAATTACTGGATCTTGCATGAGTAGGTTCCAGTATGTAAAAATGTTAACTAAATGACGGATAAATCAAAGCAGCTGCTGAAATTAACCTGCCAAATAAGTGACTTCTGTCTCTACTACTTCCAAAAGAACTGCAAGTTTCCCAGTATCACTGATCTAGTATCACAGATTACTTTGAGAACAGAAGTTTGTTAGCACCCAAAGGTAACAGAACGTTATTTTGCAAACCTGAGATGCATGACAAATGTAATATACTTTGTTCTAATACATACACCGGTTTCACTCAAATGTACTTCACTAAGCCAAACAGATTTAGGGTTCAAGACTACATGGCACTGACCACATCCTGAAAGACATGCAGAACCCCAAAATGGATTTTGAGGGCACTCACCACCTTTCAGGGCTGGTGCTCATCCACCTTTCCCTCTGCTTTACAAAGGGTAGGTTTTCCTTTGTAACCACTGAGTACAGAACCGTGTTCGCTGCGTTGCACATTGTAAAGGTACACAGTTAGCTGGCAATCCAGCTGAGGAGTCTCTTTCATGTTTTAGTGGTGTAACCATTTTTAAGGCATCCAGAACAGCAGTTTGACTGGACAAACGCTTCTTCTGACAAGCAGCTTACACCTACCTTCAGCATGATTTCCTGACGTTTGGTGGAAATCATCCGTTATTTTAAATTTACAGTAAAAAAAAAGTAGGAAGATTTAGAGGCCAGATTTTTAATTTTTTTTGTAAATCTGGTTTCCAGCAACGTTATAGACTTTCACAAACAAGTGAACACGCGCTTCAAAATACATTATGTTAAAACCAGACGCCCTAAATCTGAAGACTTTAATATTCTGAATGCTTTGTACGCTGTTATCCGGTTGCGTGTATTAAAGAGAAATTACCCGTGCAGGACTTTTCCCCTCATGTGACGGCTGCCCCCCCTCTGCACCGCACCAGGGCAGCACTCTGTGAAAACTCTTCGCAGAGCAGTGCTGGCCACCGGCTGCCGGGGAAAACAGCGGGGAACAAGTGACGGGGCGAGGAGCAGCCCACGGCCGCGGATGGCGACCGGGACCGGCCGCGGATGGCGACCGGGACCGGCCGCGGATGGCGACCGGGACCGGCCGCGGATGGCGACCGGGACCGGCCGCGGATGGCGACCGGGACCGGCCGCGGATGGCGACCGGGACCGGCCGCGGATGGCGACCGGGACCGGCCGCGTTGCTCCGCCGGGGCGGAGCCGTCCCGGCCCCTGAGGAGCTCCGGGGGGCGCGGCTCGGCCCGCCGCTGCCTGCGCGGCCGCGGAGCCTGTCTCCGGGAGCGCGGAGGGGAGTGCGGCCGGGAGTCCCGGCGGGGGCCGAGGAGCCCTCTCCGCTGCCAGACCCCTGCCCCGGGGACACCCGGTAAGCGGGAGTCGCTTGTTGTCCCACCCCCCCCCCCAAAAGTGAGCGCGGCGGCGCCGAAGTCTCCGCACCTGCCGCGGCGGCGGCTGAGCCCCCGCCCCGGCTCCGGGGAACGGGGACAGCTGTGAGGGGGCCGCCAGCCGTGATGGGGTGGGGGGTTCCGCAGAGGCACCTCAGCGACCGGGGTGGCGGGAAGAGCCGTGGGGGTCACGCCGCCCGCGGTCTGGAGGGGCGAGTTTCTCCCTTCTCCCCGGGGCCGGGCGCGGGGTGACTTACCCGCCCCAGGCTCCAGCAGAGGGAGAGGAGGAAGATCGGCACGTTCCTCATGCTAGCCAAGCGCCGGGGCCGGCGGGCTCCGCTGCCCCGCGCCGCTCCGCGGGCCCCTTCCGAAGGCGGCGAGCAGGAACCCGCTCCCGCCGCGGCACCATAGGGCCCGGGGGCCGCCGCCGAGGCGCCGAGCCGAGCCCCCCGCCCCACGGGCGGCCGCCGCCCCTGCCCCCGCCGGCCGGCAGCTCCCGGCCCGACTGGGTCTGCGCCCGCCGCCGCCTCTCTGCGCTCAGCTCCTCCTCTAGACCCCGGCTCCCTTCCCTCCCGCTTCTCCTCAGCCCCTCTCCTCGGCTTCCTTTTCTCCTCCTCCCTCTCTTTGCCGCCGTTGCTCCCCCCATAAGAGGTGCGAGTCGTTCCCCTCAGGCGGGACGCCCCCCGCCCCTCCCGGCGCCCCACAGGTGCTCCCCCTAAATGGACGGCATTTAGCCCGCTCTGCCTGCCTTCAGGTGCCGGAGAAGCCCCCTCTTCTCTGGGTGCCTGTCCCGACAGCGTAGTGGTGCCAGCCCCGGGATGCCTTTTCGCCCCAGTAAACCGTTAAGATAATCAAGCACAGTCCCTCCAAACCAGACACACACGAAACCCTCCCCCCCCCCCCCCCCAGACGTGGGGTAAGTGAAGTGTTCCCTGACAGGGTCAGGCTTATCGCCGGACAGATCAGCAACTATATTACAAAATACTTATTCAAGCCAAGCTGATTTTTTTCAAGGTTTCAACAGTTTAAGGCAACTCCATATTATTGCCTGCGAGCTTACACCAGGCATGGATCTTGGTTCTGCCTCACAAGGCATATAGAATATATAATTAAGTGACATTCATACTACTCCATGCCTTTTGTTATAGAAAAAGCAGAGTTTATATGCTGTTTTTTAGCTGAGAATAATCAGAGTCATATTTCCACTGTCTTTACGCTGTGTTGTAACTTAAGTACTGTATTATATATATCTTACATATCTATTATGCTATACATTATATATAAAGGGTCTGAGCGGGCAACATAAGACTCTCCTAAATAGCCTTATGCCACTCAAAATAACCAGGTATAAACAAAACAAAGGATACTTTTAGGAAAAAGCTGAAGAGAATTTTCATCTTTTTAATGCATTTGCAAGAATTCTATTAATATATTGAAAAGAAAGACCTGATTATAACCTCTGTAATATTATTAAAAAGAAATACTACAAACCATAATGAGCAATATTATAACCTGTCTGCTGAGGGCAGAGGGAAACAATGTAGAAAGAAAAACTTCTTTCAGGATGGCATGTGATCAAGTAATGAAAATATATTCATTGTAACAGAAAATAGTACCCCTTTGGATTGACTTTGCTCTCTAAGTGATGGGTGGACTGAAATGCACCTACTTCTAAAACAGCTAGGTTGGAGAAGAATGCTGGTTGTGCTGCCAGTGCTGAGAATCCCAGTCAGAATTTCTGGTCAAACCTCTTGGAAATGGAGAATTGCCCAGTGCAACCCCCCTGATTTCTGAGATCAGTGTCCAAGGTTCCTCTTTGGAGGAACCTCCTGGTTATTGGCACATGCTGTCTGCAGGTGCTTCTTGCAATTTCTGAAGAGCTATAGGTCTTTCCAAAATTACAATCTCAAGACTGTTTCTCTAACTTATCTTTCACAAGAATCTGATGTCTTAGCATTATTGCAAGGCATTGGAAAATCCTTTCTGTCTTCTCTCTCTTTAGAAGTTATTTCTTGCCCTTTGTGATGACTGGCATCCCACTAAGAAAACAGTCATTCTCATGAGTGAAATTTAGACACGTCAAGGCTCTTCAGGTGCTTCAGCAGTAAACCCAAGAGCAGTCCCTGCGTAGAGATGCTGTCAGGCAGACTGTCCACCAGCTGGGCTGCCCCAGAAGCTGAGGACACAAGAGTTGCCAGACACCAAACCCCAGTGTTTGATTCTTTGAGCAAATGATTCATTAGGCTGTTGAAGCTGAGTAGCCTGGGAAACCAATTAACAAATTAATGTTAACATTCTGTGTAGAAACAGTCTTGGGAACTGTCATCATTATTCCTTCTGTGGAATGACATAAACTAGTATATTGGGTAGTAGGCAGTCCACAAAGAAGTTTTGAAACTTGCATCTAGAGGTTTTGAAACTTGCATCTGTTCTATCGGAAGATTGTGCAGAGCCAGATTTTTGTGATGTTTTGTTTTCAATGAATCAGCATTTTGGGGAGAAAAGAAAAATCATCTATTATTTCTCAACCATTTCTTCTGTCACTATTCCCAGTGACTCTTTGACATGAAAGAGACCAGATGAAAGAGATGCATCAAATACTAACATTTTTGCTTAGATATAGCTAAGTGCTTTTTTTTTTTTTTTTTTTTTTCCTGAAAATAATACAAATTATTGAGGGATGAAGCCCAGAAAAATGTGGTTCAAGTTGTTTTCACTTAAACATAACACAGTTCAGATTCCTGTTACAGCAGATGTAGAGGGGAAAAAAAGAACAAGAATGGAACTAGAAAAGCTATTGGTATATAGAGATATATACAAATGAGACTGATATTCTTATGCAAAAAAGAACAGATAAGGTTATAAAGGAACCAAGGAGTCATATAAATTTAGACAGTCAATGTAGATTTGATGCCATTTCCAAGAATGGCCTGTCAAATTCAAGGGAAGGAAAAGAGAGATTTTGTGGAGGTGTCCATGAGGCACAGGACTGCATAGACATGGAGGAAAAGGATGGAGTCCACACATGGAGAGAAATTCATCCCCTATTCACAAAAGAGGTGGTAGAAAAGTAAATGCAGTTTGATTGAAATTAATATTATTTTCAATCAGCAGAGCCAGGATGTTACGGAGAGGTCAGTAAAAGTAGAAATGGAAAGTTCAGTAATGGCCACAGTGGCAGGCAGTGCCAAGGTACTGCAAGCTCTCTGCTCCCACAGCAAATGCAGGAGCCAGAAGGTTTGTTCCAATTCCAGCTGTTGGGAAAGTCTGCCTACCAATGAAAGGTACGTGCCAGTAGCGTTATAAGTAACGAGAACCTTCTGCTGGGCCATCTGACTCTTCAAAGTCCCCTAATACACAGTGTTGGCAATTAGTAGCAGATGAGATTTTGGTCAGGCCCATGGAGAAGAAGCTAACAGTTTTCCATACTGAAGCAATGACATCAATCCCCTTTTTCCTGAATTCTTATTTAAATTGTTTGTGGAGTTGAAGATGTTTTGACAATTTCTATTCTACCTACAAATCATGTTCATGTCATGTTTAAAGACTAAAAAAACATTGCTTTCATTGTTTAAAAGGAAATTTTCTTTTGTTCAATCATCTAACAATTATTGTTTACACAACGCATAACATACAGTTGCCAGAAATACCTGCACTGCATGAAAAACTTACAAGACTTTCTCTCAAAGAATGTGTACAAGCCAGTGTGGACAATGTGCATCTTGCAGGGATGATTATCTCTTGAGCTGCTCAAGCTATTTCACATGTTTTGAGTCCTGCTTTCAAGACCGCAGAGGGAATTTTTGCTTTCACTTCACTGTACTAAGTCTCACTGCAAAAGAGATGCTCTTCCTAAGTCTTCACACTTAGCAAAGACACCAAGTCTTCATCAGATATTCCTACCTCTCCCAAAGGAACCCTCTACTGTGATCCTGCATTTTGTTAGGTTGTTTTGGTTTGGTTTGGTTTGTGTTGTTTTTTTTTTTGTTTGGTTGGTTTTTTTTTGTTTTTTTTTTTTTTTTTTTTCTGCAGTCCAAATACTCAAGGGAAGATTTCATCAGCCATGGAAACAGATGTTAGAGAGCACTTCCAAGAAAAAGGAATTATAACTGCAATGAATGTGTTGTTTGGACCTTTTATATTGGAAAAGATTAAAGTTCCCTGAAGTTTTAGCATCAGTAACTATTAACATAATCTTGCTGAGCCTCTTTCAATTATAAAATGGAAGCACAACAAAGGTGCCAGGCTTCAGTGAGGTAAATTGTATGTGTCGTGCTCATGACAATGGGAATTCAGACCTTGGACAGGCTCCAGGGGACATATGGCTACACCACCATCCTTTGAGGAGCAGCACAGTGTTGCTACTGTCCAACAGTTGACCCTTCTGCCCCAAGTGTAGTTGTAGCTGCAGTAAGAGAAGGTGAAATGGAGATTCTCTGAATAAACAAAAGGAACTCATCAATGTATTTTATCTGTAGCTCCAAGAGGTGTTCAAAAAGTTTTAGTTGTTTTGAACTTCTGCTGTCATTACTGATCGTCTTATGTCTACATAATCTCCTGGACCCTATGCTTGTTTCTTAGACAAAGAAGCAATACCATGCAGAGGGAGAGTTTTTTAAGGAAAGACTGTCCTTAAATGTCACCTCAGTTTTTTCATTCTCTTCCATTTCAGCATCCTCAACAGTGACCTGCTGTCTCTAGGCTTGAAGAGTAGCTTCATGCTGTAGCTGAGAGCATATCTTCTAGTGATGGTGTTCAAACTGCTCCACAAACTGCTTTTTTGCAGTGTTCTGTGAAATGGCAGTTTACCAACATCAGCATATCAAAGGCATCCAAACAGCATGTATTCCTGACCAACAACAGAGTGATATGAAGAACTCTTCAAAGTGGTCTTTCTATAACATGCAAGTAGCTTGGCTACTCAAAAAATATGTTTCTGCAGATCAGAAATACTAAGAAATTCTATGAAAATTAAGAGGCTTTTCTTTTTGGTAAGTTAAACTCAGGACTTTTAAATGGCTTGTTTAAGAAGATGTCTGTAACTGAAGTTTTCAGTCAGGATATGGCATAGGGTTATTGTTCACCAAAGGCATGGAGTATAGTCTATAATAACCAGTGTAAAGTATGCAATTCTGTCCTCTCTCCCTCAAATTTATAAGACTCCCAGGTCTTTTGTAATTTCAAAAGAGTGAAGAAAGTCCCTTCAGAATAATGAATCTTTCCAATTTCTTGGCCAGGGTATTCTGGTTTTCCTATTTCCATTACAGGCAGGTCCTTCCATTAATACTTACCGAACACATTAAATTAATAGCTATTCTGTTACATTCACATGTATAGGGGAATTAGAATATGATCTTTGAATTTATAAATTAAATATAAAATAAATAATTTGGGTATCTGGCATAATGGAAAATACTTGGCTAATGTAATTTTAGCTTTGATTTGCTACAAAGCTCCAGGTTTGATCAGTGATTTTTGAGTCTTTTACTGGACTTGAAGAAATCAAATCTTTTTATTCTGAAAATTTGAAGTTTTTTTTTTATTCTGATACAATGAGAGA